CTTTTATTGGTATTCAGAAAAATTTGTCATATTACATTAAATTTAAATAACTACGGCTTACATATAAGTATTAACCTGGTGTGTCTAAAGTTTTTGTTTCCTGGTTTGGCAACAAAATTTATCTACGAATTGTTGTTACTCGGAAAGAATGAACTCACTTCATTCATATTGAAATGTTTTTAAACATTTTCATTTCACGTGTACATAGAACTTATAAATTTTGCTTTGGCCTTAGCCGACTTGTATTAAACATAATCCGAAATCTGAAAGGAACAGAAGTCTTTTTCAAAATATTTCAAAAGCAACCACGGGCTTTGAAGTCGAAAATCTCTCAATTTGCCCAGTTAAGCTATTCTTAGACACTGAGTTTCCGAAATTTCGGCTAGTTTTGGATAAGGTTTCAATTAACATTGATAGATCGATACGATATGATTGATACATGGTGCGCTATATATATATGATGTACCAGCTTTTGTCCGGAATAAACAGATTGGTGAAGAATCATAGACGTAGTCGAAGCTCAAAGTATCAGACGATAGATTTAAAAAACAGGATCGATTTATTATTATTCAGGAGAAATAGCAGTTACAAAAATTAGATCTCCGGAGTAAATAGAAAAGAACAACTAATAACCTTTTGTATGAAGTTTACTGCATCGTTACATTAAAGAAAAGACCCCGATATATCTTTTGCGAGTCCTTTTATAGCCTCTGGAAAGGCGGAGCTTCCAAGAAATGACGTCGGCCTCGTCAGCCATTCCAGTTCGCTTTAAAATATCTCCAGAACATTCTATAATTGTACGTGTAGAAAAGGCGGGAAAAACAACTTGACTACGGGGCTGTGGATTTAATTCCACGTACTTCCAAATAAGAGACCGTCGCCATTAAAAATGAAAAGAACAGTTAGAATTTGAAGTGTATTTTTGACTATGGAATTTTGTTATTACATATATATAGCGCACCATACATCATATATATATATATATATATGGTGCACGATGTGATAGGAAGACTTTAGAGGAATTATCCTGAGATCTTTACAGCAGTTATAGTTAAAAGAAGGGTGCAAATGACCCTTTATTCAGTGACAAAAAGTTTCGCAGACGACCCCACTTGGGATTACATAAGCAACATTTCTGGCTTAACTTAAACAAGTAATGTTGAACTTAAAATAAAAATAATCATAATTAAACTAGCCTAACTTTAATCGCTCAGGAAGGTTCTCACTCAGAGATGGGCAAACATTTTCGGTCGCGGGCCAAAAATCGAAAACAAAACGTTTGGCTATCCAAGATAAATTTTGCTAGCATTTTAAAAGCAATATACAAGTATTACAATTTAAATATGTTAATGCGAGGAATGAAATTGCGACTTCATTTTTAAAAGTTCCTTATATTGAGTTTCGAAGTGAGATGTCCTGATTCTAAGGAACGAGGCTAAATGTTGTTGTTGACACTTGTTCACAGTTGAGGCTAGTTGAAGACACTTGTTCACATATATGATATAAAGCAAACATAGCACTGATTTTTTGGGCGTGAGATATTAAAATTTAGAAACTTATTTTCGATGAGGATTATAAAACTCTAACTTTGGCATATTTCGAAAAAACTGAGATGTCAGATTGCAATTCAATTAATTTAAGCTGAAAATCTGACCTTACTGTTTCACAGTTTAAGTCGAAAGGCATGGTAAAAATATCCAGTTCTGTTCGAATGGCACTGAAATCTTGAAATATGCGTTCGAACTCAAAATACAGTTTTTTCAAGCCATCTTTATAATTCTGATCATTCACTGAGGGTATTGAATTTAACCTCTGGAAATGAGACAAGTCTTTCTTAGCTAGCTTCCCAGCAAACATATTAAGTTTTCTTATTAAGTTAAGATTAAGTTTTTTCTAAGAGGTCTAATTCACCTATATCGGATTCCCATATGTCTGCTCCCCGAGAAAGAGATAACGCTTGTTGGCGCGTATCTGCAGTTATAACTAACAAAGAACTTCCGCTTTTAACACTTTACCGATTGAAAGCTGTCTGTACTTGCTATTTCCGTCGATTTATGTTTTGTAGAACTAAAATAGAGAAAGTATGAAGACCATCAGATTTTTGGAAAAAAGGAAGAAAAAAAATAATATTTAAACAAAGAAGAAAAGCAGATGGTATATAACATATGTCTTTTAATTTTCTTTGAACCGGAAAATTAAAATTTTATCCACGGACTGGATAGAACCTTCCTGAGGGCCGGAATTGGCCCGCGGGCCGCAGTTTGCCCATCCCTGCTCTGACTCGTAGAAACCTGCGGAGGAAGAGTAATGGCCGGAAGCACTCGACGCCACAGAATCAAATCGCTCTTAAGTCAAAGTAAGAATGGGAGCTTCAAGCAAGAATAACACGTTCTAAAAAACAGCTTTCGAAACCTTCGCTTAAATAGCACTTCTTTCTCCCTTAATTTTAATAGCCGCGCGCTAACTGATTAACATTCTGGCAGGAAAGCGTGGGTGAATCGGAGCTTCGCTTTAACTAAAAATAACTATTAGTCAAAATAAATAAATGTCTAACTCGCGAGTTTTCAGCAGGAGAGAGTAGCATTTAGTAATGTTCAGAAATATTATAACACTTGAGAAAATGTTTGGAAATGTTCCAAAAAGTTTTTCAAGCAAAAAATGTAAAAAATGAACTCTTCGATTCAGGAACTGAATTATTGATCTTATAAATGTGGCTGGACACTTAACCAATTACACCACGAGGACTCGCAGGGGAAAATATCATAACTGTACATATTCTCCCAACATGGAAGGCAACTGAAAAAAGGCACGGAATTCAGTTACCGAATTTTAAGTGAAGACAAATTATCGTGCACTACACTTTAACTCAGGCGCCTATTTAGGGTCAATTCGACATTTCGAACTAAGAAGTGGGAAAATCAATTGCACTCTCGCGGATTCGAACCACGGACATTTTAATGCTGGCTCGTCGTATTACTACTTACACCATGGCATCACATATGGGAATGGTTACAAATGAGAGGAATACGACCCGATCCACCTGGTATTTTGTCTCTCCTTAACGCATGTCTTTGCGGTGTAATTGGAAGCATAGCCGGCTAGCAGCGCGAGGTCTGGAATTCAAATCCCGGCGAGAACATTGCGCATTTTTTCTGCGCCGATAAACCTAATGTTTCTATAAATTCACTTTTTTATCTTTCACAATACTTAAAGAGAGAATGGGAAAAAGCAGGAAAGGCAGTCTATCAAATTAAAGAGTAGCGAACTGTTGTCTTCTGTATTTATAGTTCGGGTGCCTTCGGAGAAAGAAATGTAAAAATAGACTATGTCGTCGAGAAGGATTGCAATTTGCCACCACGCGACTGCGTGGGTTTTTTATGATATTTAATTTGGGATGAATATTTACCCCTTGAGTGTATTAATGTTTCCCGAATGTATGTTTATCGGGTAGAACAAAACCACTAATAATTGTGTATAAAGCCCGCTAGTAATTCAGTGAACACTGATAATTGGGGCTGTTTCTGTCATGGTAAACACAGCATCCACAGGGCGTTGTACAACCTAACTTAAGTGTAACATGATTATCAGCCAGTTTCTGCCAGAAATTCATCCACGCAGGCATCCTTCTTAAGCACATGCACCTGTCGAGTCTTGCCATGATGAAATAACAAAGAACCGTACCTTAAGTCTCCATGAAATCACTTGTTTGAAAGCAGTTGCTCTCTTGGGTTTCCATTATGACATCGAGAAGATTCAGGTGCACATTTTCCTTCATGCTTTTGTTTTAACTGAGCCCCGCCTAAGATAACCAGTGACCTAACTTTGTTGTAAAGGTCTTACAGTGTTAATATTTATCCTGGCAGAAGGGTTTATTACCTCCGTATAAAAATATAAATATTACATGGGCATACAAGGCCTGCGTAAAAGCACAGGCATGTTAATTACAAACATTGTCTTGCACAAGTTACATGGGATAGTTACATAAAATCATGACAATTATGTTCACATTTAAACATTATCTGAATTCATATTTACAATACTTTTACTGAGATAATCTTAAAGTAAACTTGTAGCTCATTTACACATTCGGTGGATTTTCAATGTCATTTTAAATTGCTTTACAAGATTATTTTTAACAAGTACATACAAAATGGATAGTTATAAAGCTTACATTACAATATATAAACCAAAACCCATATAAACACAAAATTGAATTTTAACAGAAGATTCCTACTAGCGGTCTATTTTCATTCATAAACTTCATTAGAGCAATAGAATATAATTTAAAAACTTTAAAATACTTTCGGTGAACTCGACGACCCACTCGGCACTCGCTGCCGGCTGTCAACTCGATCGACTCCGCAGGGAATTGACTCGCCAGACGAGACACCAACTCGATACTAACTAACTCGCACTCTGACGAGACATACTCTCTATCAGCTCGCTAGGCGAGACACAAACTGACTACGAACCAGCAGGGTTTATATAGGTTTCGGCTTGTGTTCGAGAACATTCTGGGCTAAACCGGTAAGAATTCGTTCCAGAAGGTTCTCCATTTTGTCGCCAAATGGGCGATTTCGCGCCAAATGTGGCAAACCTTCCCTTCTTGGTATTTATGGCAACACCAAAACTGCTTTGCGGGGAAGCCATCTCACCGCTCCTGTACATTTTGTAACAATATGAATATATTAATGTGATCTTGTAATTAATCGAACAGTAGTTTTTGTCATTAATTAAGTGATTAGCATAACGTTTCCAAAATGTTTTGAGAATAACGTTACGCTGCTTTTCTTTATCATACGTTTATCATCTAAATTTATTTGCAATTTAGTGACTTTTTATCCGAACTAGATAACCGCAGAAAACATCTATAGGACAAGATACACGGTTCTTTCACTTACTAACTTGGCTTATTTCACTGAGATAGCATCCACAGCGAAATTCGGTCATTATTATGTATCCTTAAATAAATTTCTCAATAATAAAATATAAGTACTTACTATATCCGTGTATGTCAAGAACGAAGAACGGAAAATGACGGTAGAAGGAATGATCATGAGCAGTATTGAGTGGATTATGAGGGAAACTACCAGGTTCTGATGAACTTTGAGTCGAGAACACTGCAGGGATCTGAAAAGAATATAAGTTTTTTTTAGAAACTGTAACCAAAACAATTTCGCCGAAATAATCAACTGCTCTTATAAACCGCCAAACTGTATTTATCAATTATATTACAAGTGTAGGATTTATTTCAATTAACATTCAGCTGCGTATTACAGACTTTAAGTGCTTTCAGAACATTTGATTTTGGGGAAAGTGCAGAATCACCCACAGCTTGGTGCCTTTTTAAGAATTGCACATACTCAGTATCCATGTACACATCGACCTATTTTCACTTAAAAAAAATCCCTAGAATTGCACAAAAATGGCATTGTGCCCTCCCTTGACTTTATCCATGTACACCTCGACCTATTTTCACTTAAAATGTCAAAGAAAATTGACAAAAGTCCAATTCTTCTTACTCTTGTAAAAAGCGCCAAACAAATAAGTGGGCGATTCTGCACTTTAGCCAAAAAATATACATAAAAATGAAACATATACCACATGGTTCCTCTTTACGTTCATGTACACATCGATCATGTACGATGTGTACGGACCATGTACGATGTGTACGATTATGGTAACTTGGCGATTTTATGGCGATCAACCCTGCTACAGCAACCTGCTAGTTTTGTTTTGGACGCCATTTTGTTTTAATGAAGTAAAGGCATGTTTTTTTCTTTTATTTATTTATTTTTATTTTTTTTTATTTTTTACTCAACATTTTTTCCAACAATCTGCTAGCCGAACTACGCTTATACTAGAACTTTTATGGAACAAAAATGCTTAATCATGACGACGATTAGGTGCGAAATTGGAACAAAGTGCAGAATCGCCCACTGCTTGCCGCGTTTTTAAGAATTGCACATACACGGTATCCATGTACACGTCGATCTATTTTCACTTAAAAACATCCTAGAATTGCACAAAAATGGCATTGCGCACACTCTTGACTTTATCCATGTACGTATCGACCTATTTTCACTTAAAACGTTAAAGAAAATTGAAAAAAAATTCAATTCTTCTTAATCTTGTAAAATGCGCCAAACAAATAAGTGGGCGATTCTACACTTTAGCCTTGATTTTTAGTCACGATTTCGGAATAAAACTGTGTTTCAATGTTTACAAATCTGAGGCGGATTTAAATTTACATTTCTGAAATACTAAGACTCCTAAATCTACATCAGTTTTTATATACTTAGGGATGTGGGTAAAATAACAGTTCATGTAAATTCCAACAAAATAAAGTTACAAATGTCTTGAAATCTCTTGCATATCTTTTGTTAGACTGTATATAAAAAAATCAATCAAACTAAAAATTATGGGAAATGATGGAAAGGTCATCTAATAATATGGAAAAGAAATTTTAAAATAGATGCTAGACAGTAAATGAGGAAATTTAAACCATTAAATGAAAAGTTTTTGATAACTTGGCAACTAATAAAATTTTGATAGATTGCTTGCAAATAAGGATTTTGATAGACTGACTGCGAAAAGGAGTTTGATGAATTGCCTAGATCATGTCTTAATATACTGCTAGTTTTATTATGCATGCTTATTCAGGATACATACTTCGCACATTATGTGCAATTATGTTTACAATTAACTTTGCACTTAAGTTGATTTCTTAAAAGTGGGCGGCAACATTTAAATGAATTTTAGTTGGATGATAAATTAATATTCAGCATATCATTTTATGATCATGAATTATGTAAAAAATGAATATGAAATTTAAATAATACAAAATTCACAGATTCGATATAGAGAAAAACTTCCAGATGTAAATTATGAATTTATTTTTTATAAATGTAAGGAGCTGATTTTATTTTTCCGAAATAATCAAAGTTAGTTAAAAACTACGCTTATAAATTATATAAGTATGCAGGGTTTATTTTAAAAGCATATTATAATAATCCCTGGTAGTATTCCGTTTTGATGACCGTAAAAAAATGGCAGCGAACATGTATGCGCAAAAGCGCCAAATCTAGCGAACGCATCGATTTAACAGCGCGCCAAATGTAGCGTACGCGCTGATTTCAGATTGCGTTAAGCTTATATAGTTCTATATTTCTTAAGACGCCATTGAAATACTAGTTTAAATTTTTAAATCCTTTTTTTGATATCCTATGGATTTAACAATTTGTGAATTGCCCATGAAGAAAAGTCTGCAATAGAATTTTGGAGAAAGTGCAGAATCACCCACTGGTTGACGCGTTTTTAAGAATTGCACATACTCGGTATCCATGTACACATCGACCTATTTTCACTTAAAACCAAATCCCAGAATTGCACAAAAATGGCACTGCGCACACCCTCGACTTTATCTATGTACACAACGACCTATTTTCACTTAAAAAGTAAAAGAAAACTTACAAAATCCAATTGTTTTTACCCTTGTAAAAAGCGGCAAACATATAAATGGGTGATTCTGCACTTTACCGAGAATATTTTCAAAGAAAAGGCATCATTCATTATAGAAAAATACGTTTGAACAACCAACGAGATGAAATTATGTTTTAGCGATAAGTCGGTAGCGAAATAGCGATGCAGGCATCCATTCAGTTATGTTTAGCAATTTTTATATAAATCACAATAATGATCTGAAATAGTTATTGCTTCCGTTCAGTCATGTTTAGCCTTTTTTATATAAATTATAATAATAAAATGTACTATATGAAATTAACTCTTCATCTAAATTAAAACATCAGTCTTAGATAGTTATTTACTTTATTATACTTCCTTTCTTGCGTTAGGGTTGCCGCAATTATTTTTGGCAGCACTGGCATCAACAATAGTTTGGCGATTTTTTACGGCCCTCAAAACCGAATAGTACCTAATCCCTTTTCTGAATGAATCTTTGTTGTTGTTGTTGACTTGTCCATATTATATGTAACAATGGTTGCCAGAGCCCAAACAGAAGTTTGACTTCTATTTTTCCACCCCAATTTTGAGGAAAAACACCCATACTTTGATAGCAGCTAGAATCATTACATTCATTGATAAAAAAAAATTCCATTTTTTACAACCTTTGTCATGGAATCTTTCTGACAAAGGATGTATGTACTTTAATGGGAAGTTAAATACACATATATTAAAGAAAGGAAGTTTTATAAATAAAACATACAGTTGTACATAGCAAATCATTGAGTATAAAAAATCACAAAGTAAAGGTAATGCCAAGAAGTTTGAGCATTCAATACCTGATTTTTGTTTGAAATTTGGGTTAATATTCCGTAATCGGGGTAAGCACCAAACTTGGCGAGAGTTTTTTTATTTGGCGCGATTTTGATTTGGTTGTGGTTTCCGGCTGTATGTTTTATTGTGGCAAACCTAAAGCTTTATTTAGGCAATTGCAAAGAGTGTGAATATAGTGTAGGCAGAAGTTTGTTTTTTAAATTTAATTTTGAAATACTGTGTTTGTTTTAAAAAGTTTTACTGTTTAATATTATTATTATATATATGTTTAATATTATATTTATATAAATATTTGCAGAAGGTTAAGCTGTTGTTGCTGGGAGAATGTTGGATTTCAGATGATGTGAAGTTTATAATTTTATGAATTGTTTTCATTTAATTTTATTAATTAATTTTTTTTTTAGTTTTGTTTCTTGCATGTGGCAACTGAATGATATATAACATTTAAAGTTTTGAACGAAAGTTGTTTAGTGTGTTGAATTCCACGACGTTGTTTTAGAATTAAATCAATTTCATTTACTATTCTGTCTGCACATAATAATAGCTGTTCACCACTGTAAACGAATATTTGTTATTCTGCTTACGTTTAAAACTCACTTCGCAGTGCTCTGATCCGATAAGTGTATATATTTATTTACTCAATAATTATTTACAAGAATTGTTCATTCTACTATTTTATGATGAATTAAATAGATAGGATGATGTTTTTACTCGCAAAGCTGTTGGACTTTGTTTTACTCATCTAGTATTTTATAATCTCATTTTACTATTCTGTTTACATAAAATAACGGCGTTTCACTACTACAAAGCTTAAAAGTTACTATTCTGGTTACGTTTAAAAATCGTATCTTCATTGCCGCCAAAAAAATTCGCCAGATTTTGAAAGCCAAAATAGTTAGGCGCCAACTTACCCCGCTTATGGAATATTAGCCGAAATTTGAGGGAGCAGTTGGTGTTTTAAAAATTACAACTTAGTGTATTACTAACAGACTGATGTGTAGTGCATTTTCTAAGATTTTATTTATTGAGAGATAAGTGTAAAAGATTGTTACTTACTTGAAGTAGCAGAAGATGCCGAGGGTTACAATGAGTGCTATCAAAGAGATGAAGGAACAAATAAATAAGATGTAGCTGACCGTCAAATGGCCAACTGCTGTACCCTAGAATGATGAAAAAAAGAAGAAAAATTATATTAGAAAAGAAAGAGAACAAAAAAAAAAAAAAAAAAAAAAAAAAAAAAAAGCAATACATATCTAAATACAATTATATACAAATTCAAAATTTTTACTTTATGATAGCACTATGTTTTAGCTTCTGGTCTTAGTGATAACTTCCACAAATACTGGATTAGAAGCCACGCCAAGTTAAACCGCAGAAAAAGAGATAAGGTTTGGTTTATTGAGATTACAGCAAAGCACACTAGGACTATCTGCCTAAGAGGAGGGATTCCTTCTTGGAGGACTTTCTAAGGGAAACTGGCTCCTATACATGTTACACCTGGGGGAAACCACGAAAACGCCCATGCAAACTGCCCGTTCGTGGGATTCGCACCTCGGACTGAACTACCAGTGTTCAGCGACTTTACCGCTCGGCCGCTGGTGGGCTGAAAAAGAGATAAAGACAGCAACACAAATTGGTATAATATTGTTACGAAGTGTCCACCGCGCGGTAAAATAGCTTCCCGACAAAGCATGTTTAGGGTTTCTAGAAAACGGCAAGGGAAGGGTTGCCAGATTTGGAGCGAAATCACCTATTTGGCGATAAAATTAGCGATATGCCGTAGACGGATGGAGAACCTTCTAGAAAGAATTCTCACCGGTTTGGGCCAGAATGTTCTCGAAGGCAGGCCAAAACTTTATAAACCCTGGTGGTACGCGGAGTAGGGCCCTCATCTGCAAGCTAATAAATTTGGGACTTCCTAGAGAACTTATTCTTCTGATTTGCTCCTTCTTGCAGACGCGCACTTTCTTCGTCGCTCAAGGAAATGAATAATCTACTTCAAGACCCATAAGATCCAGTGTCCCACAAGGGAGTATCCTCGGTCCAGTTCTGTTTCTTTTCTATATATTGGACTTTCCGCACCCTGGTTTGGACAATTATTCTCTGTTAGCGTGTTACGGCGATTGCAATTAAATCTATCAAAGCAAATCACGCTATCGACAAAATACAAAATTATCTATATGCTGAAGAAGATTGGTGCACCAATTGGCGTGTAAAAATCAATGCTAGCAAGTCACAACTTTTAATCCTCAGCAAAATTAAGAAGCACATTGTTTTTAAAGACATCTTCCTTTTCCAAGAACCTCTTCCTTTGGTCACAAACGCTAAATATTTAGAAATCATTTTAAATCAAAAACACGGTACAACCACATTAAAAGTGTCAAGAGCAAGGCCAATTGGCATCATGTGCAGATTTCTCCTTGTCATTGGAAAATACTCAAATCTTAACTTGCGTACCAAAAGACATATTTATACCATCTGCATTCGATCAATACTTTGCTATGCTGCTCCTGCTTGGAGCACGGTTACTCAAACTCAGCTTCATCAATTGCAAGTTGTACAGAACAAATTTCTTCGCATTATTACTGACTCCCACTATCTTATTCGTAATGAATTTTTACATAAAGATTTAAAGTTTGAAACAGTTTCAGATTATATCAGAAGATCCAATGAAATGTTCTTCAACAAAACTGTGCAGTATGACTTCGTAAATTACTCTCAAGTTTTTAATTATGAAATTCTCTTCGAAGATCGAAGCTTCAGGCCACTGGCAGCTCACACCTTCATGGGAGGAGATGACAACTTTATCACTTAGCTCCTCAATTGGTAGCTGTTTATACTTCTAATGCATCTGATCTTGATAGTAGTATTTCTGCTGTTTGAATATTGTTCTTGGAAATTGTGGTTGCTGTTGCTGTGATGTAAATTGCATTGTTGCGATGAAACTGCTGTGTTGTAACTTTGTAGCCTAGGTTGTTGTAGAATTGCTGTATTGAATTGTGTTGTATTGTTGAATTGAATTGTGTTGTATTTAGTTGTATTGGTTGAGGTTGTATTGAAGAATTTGAGTTTGTCATTAAAGCCATCGTTGTATTGTCTTTTTTTTCATATTGTTGTCATTGAACACGCATTGTCTTGGATTCTTCTAGAAAACTCTGATCGCTCGTCACGTTTCGAGAACTTGTCTGATTACACTGAATTGCTCCTTTTGGTACTTCTCTTCTGCCCCTTTTCTCAGTTTTCTCTTCTGAGATTGCTTCCACGTCCGGATTTCATTATTTCATGTTCCTTAGGGCTTTATTTCAGGAACCGGCAACGTTGCTCTTCGCAATAGTTCGGTCAGTTATCGAGTCTAAGTCTAAGAAGCAGGGAGTGTCTCGTATATTGCCTAGTTGGTCTTTGAGCGTTTATCGCGAATTGGTGCATCGAGAATGTGCATCATTGAGGCTAACGAATGCATCGAGTGAAGAATCTCGAGAGTACATTGAGTTCCGAGAACGACCGGAACTGAATCTGCAGCTATAGTGCTTTGCCGTGAAGCAGCCTTCTCCGTTATAAACTGTAGCCTGTGTTGCTGAATGTTTCAGCATGTTTGTCGTACTGTTTCGACGACTGTAAACGTGTCTTTGGAACTCTTCTGTGAAATAGTAACGAATAAATTGTGTTTTCATTCTTCGTCAAGTGTTGTCGTGAATCATTCCAAATCCACGAACCATTAAGAACGTAGCAATATCGTGGAAAAGCACCGGACGATAATCAATAGAGACACTGTTCCTTCTCTTCCTCTGCGATAAGCAAATATTTTATTCACTTGCTGGCAACACAAGCAGAGTATAAGAAAAGAAAACAGCCTCTCAAATTTCGATCATAAGCCACGAAAATAGCTCATACTTTAAGAAATCTTGAATTGATTTGCATGTGTTGTTCGACCAATAGCTGTACAGCTGTAGCATCACAAAATGCTTTGCACATTATCCATTTTTGCATTGAAATTATAAGGTATTTTCTTCCAGCTTTCCGGAATCTTTCCTGGTGTAACTGGAAGCATACTCGACGAGTATTCGAGAGTTCCGGATTTCGAATCCCTGAGAGAACATTGCATATTTTTCACATTCTTGCACCGAAGTAACAAAATAACAGTGGCGCCCGAACTAAAACGCAGTGGACTATAATTCGTCACCACTTGGAATTCGGTCACTAATCCCCAGTCACCTTTTAACCCTCCAGGCGGCAAGGCCGTATATATGCGTTCGAAAATAATGGCTCTCATAACGGCAAGGCAGCATATATGCGTCCAAATATTTTGGTCCTCATGGCGGCAAGGCAGCATATATACGTAAACTTAAATTGGCACGAAACGGCAAAGCAGCATATATACGGCCTGTCTCAGAGTGCCCTCCCCTCTCTGCTCTTAATGTAAACTGACAGGTGATAATTTTTCTCTGCGGGAGGTAATTGAGGAGAGGAAACTATCTATTCGCTAGGGGCAAATGGGTTTTATCGTTAGGTTTTGAATAACAGCTCGGAATAAATAGCTCGTTCAAAACTTCCTAGCTGTTCCAGCTGTTCTGTGCTTATACCAGCTATAGTAAACTTAAATGTTTATGTTCGTAAAGAGAATTTTCATTTTCCAGCCTAATTATTCTCCAAATTTTAGATGCAGTTTGGCAAAATGTAATTGGAATTAAAATTAAAATTGCAAGAAACTGCAACGATATTTTGAAATATGTGATTTCAATTATATTGCAATTGTAATTAGAAAGTAAGTACTTTTTAAATGCAACAATAATGTATGTAATTGCATTTTAATTCTTAAGTCTTACAATTACAATGCAATGATAATCACAAACATATAATTATATAATCTAATTACAATTAAAAATTTTATTGCATCTAATCACAACTACGGTAATATAGCTAATTACAACGTAATTTTAACTGCAATTGCTGTTGGTAATTATAACTACGTAATTAGGAAAGTAATTGTCTCTGATAATTAGAATTACTTAACATAGTGAAATTATGATCATAATTGTAATTCTAAGTGTAGTAAAATTATGCAATTACTAAGTAGTTATAGTTACAAAGTAGCTGTTTTTTTAATTACAATTTACGTAATTTCATTTAAATTACAATTACTCTATATTTGTGAAATCTAATTTCATATTCAATGCAACTGCAATCATATAATCTAATTACAATTACACTGTCATTGTAACTCCAGTAAGTAATTATAATAATGTAATTAGGATAGCAATTGTTTCTGATAAAAGCAGTTACGTAGCCCAGGAAAATCATGATCTTAATTGCAAATGTAATTGCAGAATGCAATTGAAAACACATAGTAATTGGAATAATATTATGCAATTATCTTGTAATTACAATGTAACAATTTTTAATTACATATACAATTTACTCAAATGCATTTTAATTATAATTGCATTTTAATTGTGAAATCTAGTTGAATAAACAGTATAACTGTAATTATATAATCTAATAAAAATTACAATGCAATTATAATGACCTCTTAATTAAAATTGCGCAGCAGATGATTGTAACTATTTAATCAGAAAAACAACTGCCCCTTATAATTTCAGTGACATAGGCTAAGGAAATCGTGATAATATTTGAAAATTACAGTCAATAAATTATATTCGAAATGTTTTCTGCATTTTGGATAATGAGTTTTTAATAATACAACGGGATAATCACCTATAAGAAAAATATTAATATTTTCTGTCATGTCTTCTGAATCATCTTACATATATTGTAGTTTGTGGTACCAGCATAAATAGGAGTTTATTTAAAGGAAATATTTATATAGACCGAAATGCACATAACGTTAGTAAGCAAATATGTATGTTTATGATCTTCGATATACATGTGAACTTAAATTACAAGATTAAGGGAAAGCAAGCAAAGAGTTTATGCCAGTGCAAAGGGATGTTTTCGCAAAGGATTTGTTACGGGACGCTTGTCTTGTTTACATTACGCAAGAAATAAATTCATAAAAATTACATTTATCCTTTCCTTTTCAGAAAGGGAGATCATCAACGACTAAACTAAGTCTCATAATTTTATCCAACCTATTGCTTTAGCTGGTAAAAAAATGATTCCTGATCAGCAATCAGTATGCTTAATTGCTGTGTGTACTTAGGACATTTTACTAAATCCATTTATTATGAATTACCGCCCAGACAGAGTAAAGCGGTTCGTTTGTAACTCTGGTTGCCGTACCGAAGAGCCTGGGTTCGAATCCCGGATAGGGCATGAATGTAATTTTTTCGTCCTCTTCATAGGTGGCAACGGTGACCCACGTATTAGTTCCCTCCTTAATAACATGACCGGCCTTAGTAGTGATC